ATATTTAAATCAGATCAACTGAATAAGTTGAATGACTAACTGGATTATTTACTACTTATATTCGTGTTAGATCAATGAACAATTGAATGATATACCTTGGTTTGGATGGATTTTTATATATAGGATTACGGTAGCACGATATGAGCTTGAGTCTCAGAATCGATGGTTAGGGAGTGTATATGCATTGGGATGCATAGCTGGCTACGATGGTTGAGGTGTACCCTGTTAGGTCTAGGTACTCATGCTCACTTCAAGTGCATTTTGCATGTTGTCTTCTATTCAGGTTGAGACCCCCTAGTAGTCCAGTGAGAGTCCCTCAGTGTAGATATATATATTTATGTACTATATAGTTATTGTTGAGTTGTTTAGGATGTACATGCGTATTGGGTCTCTGCTTGGATTGTAGTAGAGTAGAACTTGCTCGTGGGCTTGACCCACTATCATTTTTCTCAGGTGTTCGACAGTTCCAATCGTAGAGCTTAATTATGCTGAGCAGAGACAGTCATTCACTCCTCCAACTACGTATGACTATTACTTATGTTTTTAGTTTTGCTTTCCTTTTTAGTTCAGTTATTTATTTTCCAGCTGGGATATTATTAGGGGTCCACTAGATGGATTCCCGTGTTGTAATAATATTGGAGGTTTTGGCAATGTTGGATTTTATAACTTTTAAGGATTTTTATTTTAGAATTATTTTAGCTTATTTATTTATTCATTAAATTCTTCTTGTAATCATGCTTGTTTAAATATTAATTGTTTGGTATCCCTCGGATCTGTGCTCGGTCTTGATCACCCGTGGCTCTAGGATTGTTGGGTATCACAAGGTAAGTGAAATTTAGTTGTTATTTTTCTTATATTTGTAGCAAGAAAAGGAGAAACACTTGCTATTCCAAACAACAATTTGTTTTTATTGAGGAGAATACAAATTGTGGACTAAAGGAAAATTATTAAAAAGATATATATATATATATATATATATATATATATATATATATATACAGTCCTGTTCAGTTGCTCCCTGGTGTGTAGGGAGCAACATACGCGACTTTTATTTTAGTCGTTGGATTTCATCCAATGACTGAAAATTGAAAAATAACTGTACTAGTTGTTTCTAACTTTTTAAAACTCCAAAACCACTCAATTTGAGTGTTTTATATAAAATTAAACACCTTATAATAAGGAGGTATTAATAATGAAAAAATTAAACAAATAATTCCACTAATATCGTGGATTCCTTCTATTTAGGGGAAAAAGAAAAAAATTCTCTTTGTACGAATGAAAAAATTAAACAAATAATTCCACTAATATCATGGATTCCTTCTATTTAGGGGAAAAAAGAAAAAAATTCTCTTCGTACAAATTTGTTTACAGAAAACTTACATTTTTTTTTTTCTAGCTCTTTACTTTATATTCATGTTCTGGTGAAAAAAATTCTCTTCAAACAGTGTAAGTTTTGTTACTGAATACTAGGGTAAATTTCTTATAGAGGTTAGTATCTTACTTAACATACTCCTTTTTAGATGCATGACTATGAATAGCTTTATATGGGAGACAATTTTTTTAGTTGGTATCCTCATGTAATCAATTTGTTTCTCCAATTTTTGAGGTTTTTTTTTTCCCTAGCTAATATTAAAAATGAAAGAAGATAAAAAAGTTTTGGGAGTTATCATCACAACTGATGGTATAAAATAATTTTTAGATTTTCTTCAAATATTGCCAAGGTAGCAGAAAAAATGAGAAAGAAGAAAGAAAAGACCTTCAAAAGAATTCACTTCTAATACATAAACCATAATAAAAGCATCATTTTAGTACACAAATATAAAAATAAATAAACTAACGTAAAAAATTAGAATAAAAATTTCAATGAAAAAAAAAAAAAAAAAAAAACGAAATGGATAACTCTTCTGAATCAGTAAAAATAGAAAATGGTATTTGATTGTATTACCTTAACTGTCTTTTCTGAGTGTGTGCTTTGCTCTGTATATGTGAATCCTCTCTTTCCTGTCTTCTACAGTGTTACATCCCACTTGTAATTTGTCTTCATAACTCTAAAAAAATATATTGAATTCTAGTTTGTATAGATAGATATGACAACGAATAATTTATGTTAAACAGTAGCCTATTGTGATACCCCTCGATTCTAGAGCCACGGGTGATCAAGTCCGAGCACAGATCCGAGGGACTAATTAAGTATATAAATGAACACAGATTACAAAAGAATTAAGAAAACAAATAATAAAGGCTGAAAGAGTTCTAAATAATAAATCCTCAAAATAAAATAATTATAACAATCCGACAATCCAAAACCTCCAAGATAACAACTCGGGAATCCATCTAATAGACTCCTAATAAAAAAATACCCAACTGAAAAATAAATAATTGAAAATAGAAACCCATTCTAATACATAAAGGGAAATCCTACGTAGTTGGAGGAATGAGTTATTGTCTCTACTCAGCACGATTAAGCTCTACGGTTGGAACTGTCGAACACCTGAGAAAAATGATAGTGGATCAGGCCCACAAATAAGTTTTATTCTAACTACAACGCAAATAGAGACCCGATACGCAGATACATCCTAGATATCTCACCAATAGCTAAATAGTCCATATATATTTAATTACATACTATAGGACGCTCGCTAGCTCATAGTTCTGTCTCAGCCTGAATAGAAGGTAACATGCCTCGCACACAACATGGTCATGTATACCTAGATCTACCAGGGAACATCAACTATGTCCAGTTATCCATCCTAGGCGATATACGCACCATAACCATAGACTTTGAGTCTCAAGGTCATATCGTGGTACCATAATCATATATATAAAATCCATCCAAAATGAAATGTGTCATTCAACTGTTTAGTGAGTTGACACAAATATAGGTCGGACTTAACTTTTATAGTTAATCCATTACCTAATCCAAAATAGGTTGGAATTAGCGGTGTGATCTAATCCATACCTAGTATGCCACTGTCCCATACCGGTGCATACAATCCACAGAATCTATATAGTTGACAGAACATAATTTAATGATTCATCAATTAAAATCCAGAATAACATCCATGTAATTAACAGAACAAAAGTTAATGGTTCATCAATTAAAATCCAGAATAACATCCACGTAATTAATAAAACAAATTTAAATAGTTCATCAATTAAAATCCCTAATAAGCATAACAAAATCTAATAAGTATATGACCCTATTATGCATCCAATACAAATTTAAAAATCATATTACATTCTGTTAAATTGCTAGAATAAAATTAAGCAATTATATCCTTTATCCGTTAACAGCATGCAAGATTGTTTAAACTTTCATACTGTTAAATCCATTAGCATATAGACATTAATTATGCGATATGGGTTCTAATATAACATAATATAATGTTTAGAATCCTTACTAGTAACCCAGAACAGTCCAGGAACCTCAAAAATACCAAAACAGTCCCTAAAACCACGTCCAGTACATAATTAGGCATGAGAGCTAGCTCTCAACCAATGGGAGCCAGGTCCCCTACCTTAGGAGCCGGTTCTGTGACTTAGGGAGTCAGCTCCCTCAATCCACAGAGCCGGCTTTCTCTCTCATAGAGAGCCGGCTTTCTTTCTCATAGAGAGCCGTAAACCGTTCTGGTTCGTCTTCTTCGCCTTCGACGACTTTGCAGAACCCTCTGTAATGTTTAGTACCTTTCCTAGGGTTCAATTTATGTCCCAAAGTTACTTAGAAAACAAATAAACTCCAGTATGCATCATTAACAAAAAACTAAAACACATATAAGAAAATAATTGTTACGAAGAATCAATTTAAATTTACAACACCTATGCAGTTTAATTCTAATTTAATAAGCATACAAGATTAATTTAATGTCCGATTAAAATCCTAGAGATCATCTAGGTATACACAGAACATAGGTCAAAGGAAAAGAGTAAGAAATAGAACTTGCCTTGGAAATTTCAGTTTTGAAACCTTAACGTCGTCTTCTTAAGTTTTCCGATGACTTCCGTTCACTGTCAACCTCTTACTGCTCTAGTTCAAATCCACAAGCAATACCTTCCCTCCTCCTTAGTCCGATCTTTAATCTGTGGCCGAAACCCCAACTTAATCTCTCTGTTTTCCTCACAACTCTCTATTATGTCTCTCTGCCTCCACTGTGCCGTGAATAAGGTTCTAAAACCCTAGGCAGACATACTGCAAATATTTATAGGCAAATATAATTTGTAACCTAAATCTATTTACCTAAGGAAAACAAAGAAATTATAATATATCCCAACTATATGTTTGCAAGTCGGCAACCTTAAACCACGTGATACTATAAGTCTAAATAAAACCCTAGAATTATCTTATACATTAAATAATGACTAAAATTAAAAATTCAAATATTAATAATTAATAATAATTAAACTAATCCACATATACATATATACCCATATATACATGTATATACATCCATGGATATTACCCATACCTATTTAATCCACCCTATTCAATTCCATCCTTAATAAAATAAAAAAACTTTAATTTAAACCATTAATTTTAAACATTTAATTCAAGTCCCCTATCTTATAATTTCAATTAAACAAATAAGGCCAGTTAAACACATAAAATAATTTAACCAATTAATGAACATCCACATAAGCATATAATTAACACAAAACAAATCAATTTAAACCATTAAACAATTAACAATTAAACAAATAGACAAATAATCAAGTAAAGAATTTAAAAATGCACAAAAGCCATAAAAGAAAATACCGAGACTATCCTTTTAAAATTAGGGGTATTACACCTATCAAGGAGCAAATTATACATATTTGTTCATAAGTTATTTTGAAATCTTAATCTTCATGTAGCCCAAATTATCAAATTTAAATCATATAGACTAGTATATGTAGTTTCAAAATAACATCTTTTATGTAGAGGCAAAAGTGTAGAAGAATTATTATTTTTTTATAACATTTAGTTTTTCATTTATTTTGTTTGAACTCTCTAATTGCATATAGGTATGAACGACGTTGAAAAAGTCGAGATAGGAAAAGAAGAGGAAATATACAATCCTCAAGTTGCACATGAGAAGAAACCAAGACAAGGAAAAGAGTTCAAATCTTTAGATGATTCTTATAAATTTTACAATAAGTATGTACGAGAAGCCAGTTTTAGTGTGCGAATAGATAAGAGTAAGAAAAAACAAGGGACCGGTGAAATATATTGGAAACAATATGTTTGCTTTAAAGAAAGTGAAACAGATGAAACTTACAAAAGGAAAAAGGAGAAAGAAATCGAGATGAATGAGAATCTCAAAGATGGTTTCAACAAATTAGAATGAAAGCGGGGAAATGTACGCGAAGGCTGGAAAGCAAGGTTAACCGTAGTTAAGCGTGAAGAACATTATGTGGTCACTCATTTCATTAAGGGTCATAACCATCCACTTGCAACCCCAAGCAAAGTACATTTACTAAGGTCACATCGTAATGTTTCAAATGCAAAGAGAAAATTGACTCAACAATTAGCAAATGTAAATGTACCCATATATCAACAGTTTGATATTTTGGAGACACAAGCAGGAGGAATTCAAAATGTTAGATATACAGAAAGAGATCTTAGAAACTATGAGCGTGATATAAGGGAAAAACTTAAGGGTCATGATGCACACATGATGAATGAGTACTTTTTATCAGAAAAAGAAAAGAATCCTTCTTTATTTTTTGAGATTGACACTGATGAGAATGATAGAATCAATCGATATTTTTGGGTTGATCCGCATGCAAGGAAGGCGTATAACTTTTTTAATGATGTAGTTGTGTTTGATATGACATATAACACAAATCGTTATAGCTTGATATTTGCTCCACTTACAGGAGTCAACCATCACGGAAAGACAATCATTTTTGGATGTGGTTTTTTAAGTGACGAGACTACTGAATTATTTGTCTGGTTATTTGAAACATGGCTCAAAGCAATGCCAAAGGGTCCACCAAATGTTATTATCACTGATCAAGACTCAGCAATGGCAAAGGCTATATCTCAAACTCTTCCACACACCCTTCATAGATATTGTATCTGGCACATATTAAAAAATTTTCCAGAGAAGTTAGACTCAATAATGTTCCGAGATCATTATTTCCTTTATCAAGCATCCATATGGAAATCGGACACAACTGAAGAATTTAAAGAAAGCTGGAAAAATGCATTGGAAAAAAGTGGACAACAAGGTAATGATTGGTTGAGAACGATGTATGCATTATGTGATAAGTGGGTTCCTACATATGTTAATAAGTTTTTTTCTGCTCGAATGTCTAGTAGCCAAAGAGCAGAAAGTGCACACTCATTCTTCAAGAAGTATTGCTCAAAAAATAATTAAATTTAACAAAGCTTTAGGACACCTAAGACATGAAGAGGTGATTGATGATCATGTTGATGTCAATGAACAACCAAAATTGAGATCTAAAGTGCCAATGGAGAAACAAATGATGGGTGTGTATACAAAATAGTACTTCCATAAATTTCAAGATGAGCTTTATGCTAGTGATGAATATAGATTAACTATTTCAACGGAAAATGAAAATCAATGCTCTTATGAGGCTAAGGTGGTAAATGGAGGCTCTGAAGTGCGCCGAGTTGTGTATGATAAGATTAATGAAGAAGTTAAATGCAGTTGCCAGTCTTTTGAATTTGAAGGTATCCCATGCAAGCATATTCTAGCCTTTTTTAGAATAAAACAAATAATATTTTTGCCTGAACATTATATAATGAAAAGATGGACTAAGTTTGCAAGGGTTGGAAGTGTAATAGGTAAATATGGTGTGGAGATTAAAGATGTGCAAGATAAGTTAGTTATGGTTAGGCGTACCAAATTATTACAACTTGCATCGACAATAGTTGATGAAGTTGTTATCTTAGAAGAAGGGACTGAGCTACTCACAAAGACATTGGAAACAGTTTATGAACAACTTAAGGTCATGAATTCAAGCCAAGATGCTGAAAATAATGGGTTTGAAAAAGAAAAGCAATGGGACATGCTTCAACAAAGAATTTTTAACGATTCCCTACAAGTTAGAGCAAAAGGATGTGGCAAACATTTGAGGTCATGGAGAGAGAAAGGAAAGTCAAAACGTAGGCATTGTCATGGTTATGGCAAAGTTGGACAATCTCACGATAAAAGAAATTTTTCGAAACTTAACAATACGTAAAATATAATCTTTTTCAAATTATTATTCACTTACACTTTATGAAATAAATTTTGACATGCATTGTTTTCTCTTTTACAGATCAAACATAAATAGTGATGAGGATATCGCTTCTGAGTCTAAACATACTGATCATGACACAAGTGACTAAACCGTGTCAAAGATTTATACATGTTAAATTATTATTTTTTGAAAACACATTTTCATCAGATTGTTTCAAAATAATTATGATTTTGTTTACTTTACATATTTATGTATTCTTCTTTATGTTATTATCATTTGTACAAAATAATTTAATATTATTTTGTTTTTATCTAGGTACGTTGGAGGTGGAGAGAAGAAGATTGAAGTTGTCCTTAGCTTTTTTCTTGGAGTTTTATTGGTGAAACATGTTAAAGACTAAAAATTTTTAATATCAAGACTAACTGGTTACAAGCTCGGTCACATGCACCCCAACTAAGTCCCCCTTTTGTTCCACCTTCTCAGCAGTTGAAGTTGCCATGCTTTCTTTTGTATTCATTGTTTGGATTTCTTACAAAGTCTTCAATCAAGTTTTGAATATTAATCAAGCTTACTATCAAATACATGAAACTCCTTAGTAATTACATTTAGTTCTCTATTTTTTTAAGCTTGTTATTAACTGGAATGTGGATTTTGTTAATTGTTTTAATAGAATTTGTAATTATTCTTCATTTTGTACTTGTATACCTTTTAAAGTTTGGATTTCTCTTTCATTTAATGGTCTTACTAGATTGGTACTGTTTTTGTCAGTTTAAATCAATTGTATTTCAATGGTAAAAGGGCACACTCAACATTTTGAATTCCACACACCCTTCGTTAAGGAAGGTTTTTTTTTTTTTCCTTTCAATTTCGTTAAGGAAGGTTATTTATTTATTTATTTATTATTTATTATTTTTTTCACATTTCAATTTCGTTAAGTTATTTTTTTTTTTTCTATCCTTTCAATTTCGTTAAGGAAGGTGTCAAAGGTTTTTTTTTTTTTTTTTCCTCTCTCCTTTTAATTTTGTGGGTTTTTTTAATTTTATTTTACCCGTAATAGAAGGACCACTACTCTCACTCTTCTATATCCAAATGATGTTAGTGGAATTATTTGTTGAATTTTTTTCCTTATTAATACCTTATTATAAGGTGTTTAATTTTATATAAAACACTCAATTTGAGTGGTTTTAGAGTTTTAAAAAACTAGAAACAACTAGTATAGTTGTTTTCAATTTCAGTCATTGGATGAAATCTAACGACTGAAATAAAAGTCGTGTATGTTACTCCCTACACACCAGGGAGCAACTGAACGGGACTGTATATATATATATATATATATATATATATATATATATATATGATGATGATGATGATGATGATGATAATATTCACAATTTATTTTTATCCCATTGCACTCTAATTTTAAAAGAAAAGGCACATCTAACCTTAATTTTATAAGTAAATAATTATTTTTTTATCAAATACCACAACTATCCTTTTAAATATGGAAGGATATTTTGATCCCCATTCGAATCACGAGCCACTAACTTTAACTCTTTAAACTATTATTTTATTTTAAAAAATTATTATTGATTTTATTATTATTATTTTTGTTTTAAATACACGATAAAGAGATTTGATAAAAATAAAATTTATTTATTTCTCTCTAACATCTTATCTTCTCCTCTTATCGCATAAAAAAAAAAAACACTTAATTTAAATCGTAATTAATAGTATATATCATTACTCAAATAATTGCATTAAATCATTAACATAAATATTTACCACGTCCACGGGATGAGGCAACATATTATTCAGGGATCGGTGTCTATTCAGTTGGATGGGATTGGTGGTTTCTTAACAAAAGCTCATTATTTTGCTCAGTCACAAGTAAATATAATATCAATTCTGAATATTTTTAGAATCTACATTCTCGGTATTGTTGTTGTAAGAGTACATTTGAGGCATGAAATGTGGTGTATGTTTTCTCCAACATAAGTTCATCAGTGATGGTATCACCACATAATTTCAGTGTAGAGTTGATTTTAAATAAGGCAGAGTTGACCAATGGGCCAATGACCTAGTGGTATCGGCCTCTTACTTCCCAAATGGAGGTTAGGGGTTCAAGTCTCAGAAGAGACGTGTGTGTGAGTACCAACTAGGAAAAAAAATAAGGCAGAGTTGTATTCAGTCACAATTTTAAAATCTTGCAACCGCAGTTGCTGCCAATCAGCTTGAGCTTTTGGGAGGATAACTGTTCTTTGATGATTATATCTTTTTTTCAAATTTTTTCACGAACTCAATGGATCTCTTTCAGTGAGGTATTCAGTTTTTATCTCCTAGCTAATATAGTGACGAAGGAAAATCATGGCCTTCGCTTTATCTTGTAATGATGCATCATTTTCTTCTTTAATTGTGTTTCCAAGACCTACGACATCTAAATGGATTTAAGATAAATAATTTTTGCCAAAAATGTCCAAGGCTACGAATTCCAGCTTTGTCAAGTTTGACATTTTCAGAATAACTAGATGTAACAACAATATAAGAATACAATTTAGCATAGTATAAAAATAAACATATATCTTAATAATAAAATGACATTAAGTGAAACAACAACAACATAATATGAACTATTATAATTCCAGTATAATTAAACAACAAATGAGATAAAACGTGAATAAATTATTAAACAATAAAAGCAGTAAAACCAGCCATAAATCATTAAATAATAAAGGCGGTAAAACCGACCTTAATTAATAGATCATTAAATAATGAAAAATGGTAAAACCGATCACAGTTAGCAGATCATTAAATAATAAAAGCGGTAAAACCGAACATAGTGTGAGCACATATATCACTTGAGTGGACAAAATTAATTCATAAACAATAATCAATAACTAAGATTTTCTTATCCTTTGTGTGAGATATATTTTTGTAAATTGGCATATTTCTATAACAAAACAGTCCTAGTTGAGTTGTATTTTTAGTTACCATTTCAGGCTTGACATCGACTGCAGAATTCAGAGATTGAACAAAAGAGGAAAGTATTGTTGATCATCGAAAAGGAAAGCACAACATATTAGGACACCGTTTCCCACTGAAGACACAATTATCTACATGGTATATGTTCAAAGTTACCAAAATACAGAAACTCCAAGTTCTAGTTGGATTCTGTCAAGTGGGAACCGGTACCGGATTTGGGAACTGGTTCCAGAAGCTATATTTCGAAGAATAACTCACTGTCTTTTGGGAACCAGTACCAAATATGGGAACCGGTTCCACAAGTCCTTCTTGAACCGGTACCAAATATGGGAACCAGTAGCACATATACTAATTGCAAAAGAATTCTAGTTTCCTTGTTCTGTCTGATACCTTTTTGAGCCAACTTTCCTTTTGAGTCCTATGCATGAATTTTTCTCTATTTTCTAAAGGAATAGGACTTTGCAAACCTCTATATAAACCATGTCATATACAAGGTTTATTAACGGCTTTTATTCATTATTCATATATCATACAAAGCCTTAGGAAGTAAATCCCTCTCAGAAAATCAAAGTTAATTTTTCTGTTGTCTTCCTAAAACATACACATATTCACCTAGTTAGGTTAGAGTTGCAAAGTTTGAATCCTTATCGTGATCATACAGTCGTATTAACATCGATCAGACAAAAGCAAATCTTTTTTTACATCATTCAGATGATTGAAGAACAGAAGTAAGCGCAGTCACACTTTGAAAGGGTTGGAGCATTCGTGGAGTGCTGTCTGATCTACCTGCTACTCTTCTACAAATATCAAGTGTAAGCCTGAGGTCAAGTTGCGATTGGACGTGGAGTCGTAAAGCCAGAGGATCGTCAGCAGTTGGTGTGGTGTAGAACGATAGGGTGTGAGCCAGAGTCAAAGTTCGGTATACTTTGTTTCAAGCATAGTGGATTGGTTTACTTTGGACTGCACAAGTCAACGAGGCTTTTCCCATAACAGTTGATGTATTTTATCAACTGGGGTTTCCTCGCTAAAATTCTGGTGTCATCTCTAACTTTATACTTTGCTTTATTGTATCTGCATATGATTAACTGTTTAATTGATAAAATAAGTAGAGTTAGTAACGACACAGATCTTTTTACAAAAACTAAAACTCTCCTAAATACATTCCGCTACGTACGACTCACTATTTGGTATCAGAGCCTTTCTATATACATTGAGTTGATCCTTGTTGGAAAGTTTAGTTTTGTTTTCAAAAATTGTTTTAATCATGTCTTATGCATTGAAAGAAGGTGATTCTAATCAACGTGGTCCTTTATTTGAAGGAGATAATTACAATTTTTAGAAATCAAAGATGAGAGCCTATTTGCAAAATTCTGGTGGTAAAACTTGGGCAATTGTCGAATCTAGCTATACACCTCCTACAGTAGATATAACTGTGGATGGCAAAATAGTCAAAGAGTTAAAAGATACTTTTGGTTTTACTGCTATTGAAACTGAACGTAATGATGCTAATAGAAAAGCTTTATATTCAATTATTAATTCTGTTATTCCATCTGAATATGTTAGAATTTCTGATTGTAAAACTGCTAAAGAAGCTTGGGATATTTTGCAGGTCACTCATGAAGGAACTTCAAAAGTGAAGTTGTTCAAAATTCAGTTGCTTTCACATAAATTTGGCAACATTGTGATGAAAGAAGATGAATCATTTTCTGATTTTTATTTTAGTCTTCTTGAAATAATTTCTAAACTGCGTCACTTAGGTAAAAAAGTTAGTAATAAAAAAATCTGTGAAAAAATCTTAAGGTCTTTACCTAAAAGATTCCAGATTAGGGTTAAAACCATCTCTGAACATTAGGATTTGACGACCTGTCAAGTTGATGAGATGGTAGGTTCATTAAAAACTTTTGAGAAGCAGAATTTTGATTTAAATCAGAAAGAGAAAAATCTTGCTCTGAAGTCTACACAGGTTGAGAATTCTGTGAATGATGACTCTGATGATGATATTGCATTCTTGTCAAGGCAATTCAATCAGATTTTACAGAGACAACTGAGGAGAAGGAATAGCAACATAGCTAATCCTCAAAATTTTGACAAGACATCAAAATTTAAGTTTAATGAAAAGAAAGTAGAAGAATCAAAAGAAACTGAGTTTACTTGCTAGAATTGTGGTGG